ACTTTAACTATTACTAGTATTTTTTTCTGGTTTTAGTTTGAGTTTCTGTAACTATTATGAATATAGTAAAACATTTATAATAAAAACATTTTTGTTAAACATTTCTCATTTTCATTCAGAAATGACACCAAAAAAAGACTAAATAGACATATTGAAAAACAACTAAAAAACTAAACTAAATCTAATAAAAATTAACTGAATAAATACCGATTCCATAGTGTGAGTATTTCAATGACTAAAAAACGCTGACGCATAGTGCAAATGCCTTTGCTTTTGAAATATGACCCAGTTTATATTTCTCTAGGATAAATGCCACAACGTTGTTATTTTTGGCCTGCTTCGTCAGTCATGGTTGAGATCTGCTGATTCATTACTACATATTCAGCATCATTGGTCAAAATAGTCACTGTAAACTATCTAAGCACGATTACTCAACAGGAAAGCATTTTCAATAACTGTTATTTAATGAATGTAAGAGTGAAAACAGCGAGTCATCTGGGGATTACTTCCATCTCCTCGGGTCTTCCTCATTTTTAGGCGATTCCTTGAACATGTTAGAACGATTAGTGATCAAACCCAGAGACTGACCTTCACATGATCAACATGAACTGATAAACCAGTTTCACTCTCAGTATACAGTCGTCTGATCCACATTACACTCTTTATCAGTAATTGTAAGAATAACTTTGATATTGTTAGTAATATTTCAACTGGACTGAAGCAGCTTTACTTGATTATATATCATCATTTATTATAAAAATCATGAGCATCAAATATGATCATAAGGTTTATTTGTTCATCTCTCAATCATCATTGTATTACATTGCATTATATGTTTTAAAACTACAGAGCTTTGACCATAAAACTAAGCATTTAAATGCTCATCTTACTAAGACATATTATTGGCATATATATATGTGTGTGTGTATATATATATATATACTGTATATATATATATATATATATATATTCATATATATATTTTCACTATATCAGACTATATGAGCCACAAAAGCCTAATGCATCAAATATGATACAAAATCTTTTTATTTAGATTTTATTTTTAAAGGATCATTAAACTGTCGATTAAAAAAAAACAGATTATTTTTGACATCTATCTGATTAAAATTTATATCATACATTCACAGGAACTTTAGACACAGTTGTTCTTTTGCGCTTAAAGAAGATTAAAGAAAATAGTCCAACGCTGTGGCACAGCGAGCACACTCACACACACACACACACACACACACACACACACACACACACACACACACACACACACACACACACACACACACACACACACACACACACACACACACACACACACACACACACACACACACACACACACACACACACAGGCCCTTAAGAGAACAGCCAGAAACATGGAGCGCAACTGGAAGAAAACTAAACTAGAGGTTTATCGCATTTCATGGAAAGACAGCATTATTGCGTACAGAAAGGCCTTAAAAACTGCAGATCTGCTTATTTTATGTCTCTCTTAGAAGAAAACCAACACAACCCAAGGAATTTGTTCGAATTAACAAGAAATAAAGCTTCAGCTTCTGAAGTTTCCAAGCTGCACATCAGTAATGACTTTATGCCCTTCTTTACTTACAAGATTGATAATATCAGGGAGAAAATTATAACTATGCACCCGTCTACTACAGCATTGCATCAGGCAGTGCAGTGTAGTCTCCCTGAGGAAAACTTCCATTCATTCACTGCTATAGGAGAGGAAGAATTGTCTAAACTCGTTAAATCATCTAAATCGACAACATGTATATTAGACCCTATACGGACTACGCTACTGAAAGAGAAGCTTCCAGAGGTCATAGATCCTCTTCTTAATATTACTAATTCATCTTTGTCACTAGGATATATACCGAAAACTTTTAAGCTGGCTATGATTAAACCTCTTTTTAAAAAAAACACACAACTTGATCGTACAGAATTAGAGAATTACAGGCCGATCTTGAATCTACCTTTTCTGTCAAAGATATAGAAAGGCAGTATCCTCACAACTGTGTTCCTTTTTTTAGAAAGAAATGATATCTGTGAGGATCTCCAGTCCGGATTTAGACCGTACCATAGCACTGAGACCGCTCTCATTAGAGTCACACATGATCTGCTCTTATCATCCGATCGTGGTTGTATCTCGCTATTAGTGTTACTTGATCTTAGTGCTGCATTTGATACTATTGACCACAGCATTCTTTTAAATAGACTCGAACATTATGTTGGTATTAGTGGAATTGCACTAGCATGGTTTAAATCATACTTATCTGACCGTTATCAGTTTGTAGCAATAAATGAAGAGATGTCTTATCGATCACAAGTTCAGTTTGGTGTACCACAAGGCTCAGTACTAGGACCGCTGCTGTTCACTCTGTACATGCTACACACACACACACACACACACACACACACACTCTCTGTACATGCTACCGTTAGAAGATATCATTAGGAAGCATGGGATTAGTTTTCACTGTTATGCTGATGATACTCAGCTCTATATTTCTTTCCGCCCCGATGATACTTACCAACAATGTTCCCTCTAAGCTGCAAAGAAAGAATAAAATGCCGCTCAGGCGCGAAATTGTGTGGGGAAATCCATTTCATTGTAGTTTAAGTGAGAAATATTTGCAGTGCTCTGTTCAACCGCTATAGAGTGAAAACCGGTAAATGCAGTTTACAAGTTTCATAGAAAAAGAATGATGTGGGCGTGTGTGAGCGGCAGTGAGAGCCAAATCAGTCACGGTAAAAATACTGTCATGTTTGTGGACCAAATAGCACAATACGAGAAATGCAAAGACATGTGAAATAAAACTTCATCATGTTTTAAAGAAGAGTGGTTCGATTAAGTGGTGGAAATAATGGATCATGGGCACAAAACGGTAACAAATACACACTCACCCTCGTGCAAACTCAAAATACATCAATTACTTACATTGGTTTAAATGGATTGGATGAAATGTGTGTGGGCTTCAGGGATGTTTAGATTACTATAAAAGAGTTCACATAATTCCCTTTTCTTGAAAATATTTAGCCATTAGATCTATTTAAAATGCTTCAGTTTGTTTTCATATTATAATAAGGAAAGTTCCCTGCTGGTGGAATGATCTCGCCACCTTCATCCGGTATGCAGAATCCCTGACAACATTCAGACGTCAGCTGGAAACTCATCTCTTCCGTGAGCACTTAACCTCATAGAAAAACCCCTTTTCCTTTAATCATCGCTTGTCTGGCTCATGCTACTCCGAGAAATGCCCGAACTTTGTATTTTGAGCACTTCTTGTGTTGTTTTTGCCTCTTCATGATGACTCGCTTGCTTTAGTCCTCATTTGTAAGTCGCTTTGGATAAAGGCGTCTGCTAAATGACTAAATGCAAAAATGTAAATGTAATAATATATTATGAAAACAAATTAAAGCATTTATAATATATCACTTTATATATATTTGCTATATTATATCACTTTAAATACTTCAATTCGTTTTTATATTATATTATGCCTACATTTTATTATATTATAAGCCTAATAAAGAATTGATCTCAATAGGGGATTGTTTAGGGCTCCTTGCCATTAAAAAGTATGAAACCCCCTGCTAAAGAACATATTAGAAATTCATAAGCAATAAACAATCATTTAACTTTGATGGTTTAATTCTGGCTGGAGCCAATAATTGCATGTACAAAAACACTTTATGGTTTTCCCAAACCATCTTAATTTTTTTCATACTATATTATTGTAAAGAATTGAGCTGTCCTCCAGAAGATTTTGTAAATTATTTTTATAGAATTTCTTGGTAAAGACTGGTTCAGTTCTCAGGTTACTCTATCACTCTATACTACTCTGTATTCTCAGGTAACCTTAAATGTGCTTTATTTAGTGACTTCTCAATTAACTGCTTGTTTTCAATCAAATTATGTAATACCAATAAGTAACATCAAAGGTCAGATAAAATATAAATGGCACATTCAAGTTAAAAGTAACAACTGCATGTTGAAACCATTGGGTTACAGGTCAGG